GTTTATAGATTTAGATATTCATGCTTTGTTTATCTATCAAACTAAACCTTAAAGATTTAAATTATTTTTTCTAGTACAGAGTGTTGTAGAATTAAAATGTCTTTGTGCAATATTAAGCCTGGATTTAGTGGAATTCAGAGAAGCACCAAGGACAAGGCTTCTATGATAAAAGTATCATTTTCAGGAACAGCGTGTCTCTTATCGGAACAAAGCCTGAGACACAAAACCAGACTAGGCCAGACCGGGACCAGGACTTCAGTCTGCCTCAGACCATATGACGTCATTGGACATTTTGTGAGTAGTCTGAGCAGGGATAGATAGACAGAGAGAATCGCAGAACGCCTGAATGTTCTCTGTACATTTTCAGGCCTGGAAGGGAGAGTTAAAATGGCTCAGCCTAGGGTTAGTTATAGGGAATTAATAGCTACAAAAGAGTTTTGTATCAATATTTAATTGTAAAGAGAATTAAATGTTCCATTTTTAACTCTTGTATGCTTGGTCTTATTTCTGTATCAAATTCTGAACACGTCAGTCATATTCTTTTGACAATAAGTTGTGCAGCATTTAATATTCACTTTAATAACCTCTTATTTTGTCTTTGTGTGCCTCTCATTCCTACTGTTCTGTAACCTGTTTGAGAATCAAAAATGTATTTGCCATTCGCAGTAAAACCACATTGGAAAAACTGTGCAAGACTACCCCAGTGTGCACCTCTTGCCACGGCACCATGCAAGTGATGCGACACTGGGTTACCAAACAGTAGGAATGCGGAGCCACCGTGGAAGGGATGAAGTATCTCTTAATCTTAAAAACGCTCTGAAAAGTCATGATAGATTGGAATAAACAGGAACAATGGCCTTGAGGAGGTCGTAACCATTTGTGCGCTTCATGTTGACAAGAACTCTTCAGTTCAAAAGAGATCTATGCGCTGCCTGATGCTTTCGGACATTCGAAAAATCTGTCCAATGTAAAACTATGGCAGAGATTGGTGTGAAGAAAAGTGAAGTAAAAGTGTCTGTTGCAGCAGCAGTGATCAGATCTAATAAAATACTCCTGTATAAATTGCTTTAAAATATTGTTTTTGTCAGTCTATTTAGAAACGGAAACATATTCAAAAGAAGGCTTGAAATACTTCACTATAGGCGATGAATCCACTGTATATAATGCTGTGTCAGAGAATAATTAGATACTTTTGGGACTTTTTCAGAAGAGATAATAAAATGACTACTTGAGCTTTATTACCACACATGAGTCTTGGATCTATGACACAGCAGAGATTATCAGAGCAAAGTCTTGATGTGATAACAGATTTAAGTCCACAGTTCTCCATTTTACTTAAATAACACGCACATATCATCCGTTACATCTGAGTGAAGGATGAACTTCTCTGAACTCATACAATGAACAATGAAAGTGTTTTTTTATACAAATTATCAAAGGGTGAAAATTTACAAAGTGCTTTTCATACCCATTTTCTTTTACAAACAATATTTTTTGGGACGCAGACACCACAGCAGTATCATAGATTGACCAATATATTGAGCCGATTCACTGTTTTGAAATATTAGTCTTAACTTCTTCCCATCCGAAATCCCACCATGAATTTGTGTACCTAATTTTAAAGCTACTTTCTCAGGAAAACAACCACATCCATACTCTAAACAATAACCAAACATGTAATTTTATGTTTCAATAAAAGGCCAATATTACTAAAATTATTAAAATGCCACCCAAGTCACATAGCACCATCCTATGAATAATTATCTACAAAAATAATGTTTCTTTAAGGTCATTCTTATCCCCATTAATCCTTAAGAGATCCTATATTAGTCCCACAGAGAATTGCAGGCTTCTCAAATGTATTACAAATCATAATAACTAGAGCAAATATTTATACTATAAAAAGTCTTTGTACAAGATAAAATAACCAAAAAAATGGAACTATAAAAAGGTCCTATTATTTTTTGTTTGTAACTAAGATTTGATCAACATTACCAAAATCCACTTTGTATCACCTGTCAGCAAGAGGATTTGTGTATGAAATGGCAACAATTCATAAGTATAATGTTAATTTAAACAATAGCAACAAACATCGTTCATTGGGCTAACACTTGAAACTTGTAATTCACTGCATATATTTATATTATGCATCCATGCTAGAACAGTACTGGCTTCAATATCCAACTTTAAGTTTTCCGGGGCTAGACTCACACCAATGGGACACAAAAGCCCTGAGAGCTTATTGTTCGGCTCTTTGTGAAGCTGTGGACGCCCAACGCTTCTGCTCCTCAACATTTAGCTGTAGTTTTTGTAAAGGCGGCCTATTGTTGACATCAGGGGATCGTTCACATGGAAATCTACAGGGTGTGATTTGGCTCTGGGGAAACTTTAAAACACAAGCATTGGCGAACAAAACATAACCTATGCCAGACATTCATTAAATCTGGAGTACCTTACTTTGAAACCAAAAAACTACATTATGTAATCAAATCCATGTAACTAGTCCCTAGTTCTCATAATCGTCACATTGGCCTCTGTCACATCATCAGCTTTCAGTATACAAGATTTAAGCTTTTCTGTAAACACAAAGACAGCATGTCGTGGTCTGATTTGTGTTGCCTAAAAAAGATATGTACTTTACTGTGTCATTTTGCACTATTACTAAAAACCCTTTTGAATAGTGAAAAGGGATGCAGTAAGATGAACTCAGAAAAAACAAGACAGCATCAGCCAGAGATGGTAAATATTTGTTGATATCGTGTGAGAAGCTCTTGTGGCATTTCTTCAAGTGTTAATGAATATAAATGCGTCAAAAGTTTGAACTATATCATCTGAGAGCTAGTAACTTTTGCAGTACGAAGAAAAAAACAGACATACAGTACCAATATAAAACACATCCTGCCAAGACACTTTACCTCAAGAATCATATCTAAAATATCCTTTCCATAAAAACATCAAAAGCAGGTCTTGAACAGATAACAAATAAGAGTACAATAATCCTATCTACTATCAAGTCCAACCTCTATTCTGAAAAGTCCCTTGGATTTCCTGATTCTCCTCATGTCGGCTCTGTCTGCTGTTCACATAAACATAAACCACAGCTGTTTTCAGATCCGTTCCAGAGCTCCAGGGGCTTCTCAACCACACAAAAAATTGTTGGTACATTGGAAGTACTGTATAGATTCTACAATTGTTGTCACAGATTGTAGAATACTAAATGGGAATGCCCTATGTTAGTTTTAGTTGATCTAGATACAATATTGAATGGGAAAAGGTCTCTGCACGGCTTATATGTGTAATTTTCTCCTCTGGGTTCACATGTTGGTTGGTTAATCAGCCTTGGGATTATGGGCTGAAGCTGAATTATGCACAATTTATTGGCTAATGCAAAATGTCATCACTTTTAGAAAAAATATAAATAACTAGTCTCATACACACTACTGAGTTTTACAAAGTGGAAGGCATTACATTTCTGAATCGGACAATCACAAATATGATCCTGCTCGTATTACAACAAAAAGTGTGATTAACAATAAGTTGTGCAGCAACCACACGGTCAACAGTCAGAGGAGAGTGCAGCGTTCCAAGACGCAAAACTGCATATGGTCAACAATCATTCTCTTATAAAGCAGCGAGCCTTTGGAACACTCTTCCAAATGAAATTATTTCATGCACAAATTATAGCACATTTACACGCCTAACCAAACAGTGGTTATTATCAAAGAAAACCTGTACGCACTGAATGACTGAACGCTGTAAACTGTGAGCGAGAGTGAATGATAGAAAGTGCTTTTATGATGTAAGCGTTTATGTATTATTTTGTATATATTTTATGAATTCTTTTAAGTATAACATCAACCTGTCCAGGGACTGCGGGTGGAAATTAGCATTTTTGCTATAACCTGGCACATGACATCTCTTCTTTTTTAGACTAATGTTGTTTGTGCATTGTCCCTGATCAAATAAATAAAGTAAACTAAACTAAACACAATTTTCAACTCAACAATTTGGCTTTAATTCTTGCAACAACACCTGAAACCAACAATTATTATCTTTATCTCACTCCCCACCAGCAAAGGCTTCTTATCGTATCACCTTATGTAAGAAAACACCGTAAGAAGCTAATATAACCTCAGGACATGTTTTAAGCCAAGACACAGCACTGGAGTTACATACAAAATAAAGAAAAGTGATCATGTCATTGGAAAAATCATGTAATAGTGTTTACAATTTCAAGATGAGACTACCAGGCTCAATGTCAAATGGCTTCTAAAGTCAGACAGAAAATTCTCCAAAGGTTGATACAGAAGAAAAAATGAAAGTAGGATGAAGGAATGAAGGAATACGCTGCTGTAATGTATTATCAAAGCAAAAGGCTGTAAATTGATCATATTTGGATCGTGCAACAGCCAACTAGTTTCAAGTCAATATTATGTGTGTGTCTAAACTGCTTTTTAGCTTTTATTCTATTATTTTCCTTTATGGATTGTGTGTCTGCATGTTTTGTTTATTCTTGGTTATAATATCTATCCAACATAGTACTATTATTGAGAGCATACACATTCATCATGCATCATTTCAGGGCATAATGTAAATTGGATTAATCTAGAATTCTTACATAATTAAAGTTTGTTAGTGAAGTGTGAGTACATTTGAGAAGAGAGGCAGGCACTGTGAGTCTCTGAAGTTAAAGGGAGTAATTGCATTATTGTTCCGTGTAGACCCTTGTTTGTTGTGTCGAGGTCAAATGGCCAAACAAAGCAAAGAGAGAAACTAAAAAACGTATTTGATACTTGATCAATTTGAAGAAAAATCCCATTGAACTCGTCTGGTCTGACACAGAGCATCCTTCTTTTTGCCAAAGTGTGGTCGAAAGTCCTGAGCTCATTTCAAAGGAGATAAACAAGTGTAACAAGAGCTTATTGTGCAACAGCCACGCGTTTGATAGAAGTCGTGTTTCCAAACGGCGAACAGAGAGAGTAAGTGAAAAGCATGCGTACCCAGTAGTCCATGTTGAGACAGTAGATTCACAGCAGACTTTTTAACGCAGAGAGCAGAGAAAGTCACCTCACTTTAGGAGCTCTGAGCGCTGACTGCAGCTGGGAGGAAGTGACTGCACTGCGCATGTGCACAAGCATTCAAAGACAGAAGGATATTCAACTTCTATCAGTAAAGAAATATTTTAAAAAAAAATTTCTTTGTGTACCATTTCTATAGGGTTAGAAAATATATAGATAGTAAAACAATCATTTGGTATAGTTTCATGGCAGGTAAATGTATTTGTATCATTAGTGTCAATTCATCTCAACAATGTGAAGTGGCTGAAAATGTAATCCGTTGTTCTTAAACGCACCACCGGAACCATCTGCCAGTGTGTGTAGGTTTGAAAATAGGTTCAAAAACAACGAGACAAAAAACAAATATATCGCCTGTCATGCAAAAAAAATGTATTATTCTTTGCTCAGTAACAAACAATGTTGGGGTCGACGGGGAAAAGGTGTTATTATGTTCGTCACTATTATGACGTCAGCGATGATGAAGATAAAACCCTAAGAAATAGCAATTGCATTCGCCGGGTGCAGTGGCGTGCGCCTGTAATCCAAGCTACCGGGAGGCTGAGGCTGGAGGAGCGTTTGAGCTCAGGAGCTCTGAGCTGCAGTGGACTATGTCGATCGGGTGTCCGCACTAAGTTCGGTATCGATATGGTGCTCCTGGGGGAGCCTGGGACCACCAGGTCGTCTAAGGAGGGGTGCACCGGCCCAGGTCGGAAACGGAGCAGGTCAAAGCCCCCGTGCCGCTCAGTAGTGGGATCGCGCCTGTGAATAGACGCTGTAGTGCAGCCTGAGTAATACAGCGTGACACAGCCTTTTTATCCTCCTTCTTTTTTCACTCACACAAACAGTCTCCTGGGACTGCTCTTGCACTGTTTTATGCAATAATTTGAGACAATTTTCGTGCTTTTCTTCCTTTGACTCTAATATGTTTTTCCTGTCCCACACTGACCTCTACTGGACGCCACCTTGTACTAAATCACACTTTAGTGAACCACAGAAGGAAAAGAGATGTTGACAGATATAAGGAAACGGTTTATTTTCCATTATAAAACCAAGAAGTTTTCATTACAAATGACAATTACCATCCAGAGTTAGTTTTTCCAAACAAAAGTACAAGGTAAAATGAAAATGAAATTCGTCCACACCATCACTACATTAGAGGCCCATGATTATGATTTGATGTCATCGATCACAGAGAAAATGGATTTGTTACATATTTCACATCGTTTCCATTGGATGAACTTGTGATGGACAAATAAGACTCTCCCACAAGGAAAGAACACAGTGTGTGTTGTTGACAAAGAAATACTCAAACTACACACTTTCTGATATCGACTGTTTGCAGTTTGAGCATAGATAAAAGACAGTTTGCCGCTCTGTAACCCTGGTTGTTATATACCCTGCAAAAACATGAACGTTTATTAATAAAATGGAATGGAATGAAAATTGGTATGAAAGAAAATGACAAATGATTGAACATTATAGTTTCATTATTGATCATTGTGGGGTGTAGGGAGTTCTTTTGTCCAAAGGAGGGCGACAAAGGCCAATCAAACAAGGAAAACCCAACGTTTGTAATGAATAACAAAAAAGTGAAAAATGAATGAACAAAAAATGTACCTTTGTTGTTGGATAAACCATACAGGCCTAAAGATTAGCCTCATACAGAGAGCCAGTGGCAATCACAAACTTGGATCACTTCTGAAACAAATCTCAGAGTGAAAGACTTTTGTCAGAAGTTTTCCTCTGGACAAAACCACGTCGTTCTACAGACTATTGAGGCCGAGACACGGACATGCAGATGGATGACGTCACGCAGGTAGAGCCCAAATGTCCTGTGAGCTCTGGAACGGTCGCCGGGAGCAGTGGCGTGCGCCTGTAATCCAAGCTACCGGGAGGCTGAGGCTGGAGGAGCGTTTGAGCTCAGGAGCTTTGAGCTGCAGTGGACTATGTCGATCGGGTGTCCGCACTAAGTTCGGTATCGATATGGTGCTCCTGGGGGAGCCCGGGACCACCAGGTCGTCTAAGGAGGGGTGCACCGGCCCAGGTCGGAAACGGAGCAGGTCAAAGCCCCCGTGCCGCTCAGTAGTGGGATCGCGCCTGTGAATAGACGCTGTAGTGCAGCCTGAGTAATACAGCGTGACACAGCCTTTTTATCCTCCTTCTTTTTTCACTCACACAAACAGTCTCCTGGGACTGCTCTTGCACTGTTTTATGCAATAATTTGAGACAATTTTCGTGCTTTTCTTCCTTTGACTCTAGTATGTTTTTCCTGTCCCACACTGACCTCTACTGGACGCCACCTTGTACTAAATCACACTTTAGTGAACCACAGAAGGAAAAGAGATGTTGACAGATATAAGGAAACGGTTTATTTTCCATTATAAAACCAAGAAGTTTTCATTACAAATGACAATTACCATCCAGAGTTAGTTTTTCCAAACAAAAGTACAAGGTAAAATGAAAATGAAATTCGTCCACACCATCACTACATTAGAGGCCCATGATTATGATTTGATGTCATCGATCACAGAGAAAATGGATTTGTTACATATTTCACATCGTTTCCATTGGATGAACTTGTGATGGACAAATAAGACTCTCCCACAAGGAAAGAACACAGTGTGTGTTGTTGACAAAGAAATACTCAAACTACACACTTTCTGATATCGACTGTTTGCAGTTTGAGCATAGATAAAAGACAGTTTGCCGCTCTGTAACCCTGGTTGTTATATACCCTGCAAAAACATGAACGTTTATTAATAAAATGGAATGGAATGAAAATTGGTATGAAAGAAAATGACAAATGATTGAACATTATAGTTTCATTATTGATCATTGTGGGGTGTAGGGAGTTCTTTTGTCCAAAGGAGGGCGACAAAGGCCAATCAAACAAGGAAAACCCAACGTTTGTAATGAATAACAAAAAAGTGGAAAATGAATGAACAAAAAATGTACCTTTGTTGTTGGATAAACCATACAGGCCTAAAGGTTAGCCTCATACAGAGAGCCAGTGGCAATCACAAACTTGGATCACTTCTGAAACAAATCTCAGAGTGAAAGGCTTTTGTCAGAAGTTTTCCTCTGGACAAAACCACGTCATTCTACAGACTATTGAGGCCGAGACACGGACATGCAGATGGATGACGTCACGCAGGTAAAGCCCAAATGTCCTGTGAGCTCTGGAACGGTCGCCGGGAGCAGTGGCGTGCGCCTGTAATCCAAGCTACCGGGAGGCTGAGGCTGGAGGAGCGTTTGAGCTCAGGAGCTCTGAGCTGCAGTGGACTATGTCGATCGGGTGTCCGCACTAAGTTCGGTATCGATATGGTGCTCCTGGGGGAGCCCGGGACCACCAGGTCGTCTAAGGAGGGGTGCACCGGCCCAGGTCGGAAACGGAGCAGGTCAAAGCCCCCGTGCCGCTCAGTAGTGGGATCGCGCCTGTGAATAGACGCTGTAGTGCAGCCTGAGTAATACAGCGTGACACAGCCTTTTTATCCTCCTTCTTTTTTCACTCACACAAACAGTCTCCTGGGACTGCTCTTGCACTGTTTTATGCAATAATTTGAGACAATTTTCTTGCTTTTCTTCCTTTCACTCTAGTATGTTTTTCCTGTCCCACACTGACCTCTACTGGACGCCACCTTGTACTAAATCACACTTTAGTGAACCACAGAAGGAAAAGAGATGTTGACAGATATAAGGAAACGGTTTATTTTCCATTATAAAACCAAGAAGTTTTCATTACAAATGACAATTACCATCCAGAGTTAGTTTTTCCAAACCAATGTACAAGGTAAAATGAAAATGAAATTCGTCCACACCATCACTACATTAGAGGCCCATGATTATGATTTGATGTCATCGATCACAGAGAAAATGGATTTGTTACATATTTCACATCGTTTCCATTGGATGAACTTGTGATGGACAAATAAGACTCTCCCACAAGGAAAGAACACAGTGTGTGTTGTTGACAAAGAAATACTCAAACTACACACTTTCTGATATCGACTGTTTGCAGTTTGAGCATAGATAAAAGACAGTTTGCCGCTCTGTAACTCTGGTTGTTATATACCCTGCAAAAACATGAACGTTTATTAATAAAATGGAATGGAATGAAAATTGGTATGAAAGAAAATGACAAATGATTGAACATTATAGTTTCATTATTGATCATTGTGGGGTGTAGGGAGTTCTTTTGTCCAAAGGAGGGCGACAAAGGCCAATCAAACAAGGAAAATCCAACGTTTGTAATTAATTAAAAATAAGTAACAAATGAATGAACAAAAAATGTACCTTTGTTGTTGGATAAACCATACAGGCCTAAAGATTAGCCTCATACAGAGAGCCAGTGGCAATCACAAACTTGGATCACTTCTGAAACAAATCTCAGAGTGAAAGACTTTTGTCAGAAGTTTTCCTCTGGACAAAACCACGTCATTCTACAGACTATTGAGGCAGAGACACGGACATGCAGATGGATGACGTCACGCAGGTAAAGCCCAAATGTCCTGTGAGCTCTGGAACGGTCGCCGGGAGCAGTGGCGTGCGCCTGTAATCCAAGCTACCGGGAGGCTGAGGCTGGAGGAGCGTTTGAGCTCAGGAGCTCTGAGCTGCAGTGGACTATGTCGATCGGGTGTCCGCACTAAGTTCGGTATCGATATGGTGCTCCTGGGGGAGCCCGGGACCACCAGGTCGTCTAAGGAGGGGTGCTCCGGCCCAGGTCGGAAACGGAGCAGGTCAAAGCCCCCGTGCCGCTCAGTAGTGGGTTCGCGCCTGTGAATAGACGCTGTAGTGCAGCCTGAGTAATACAGCGTGACACAGTCTTTTTATCCTCCTTTTTTCACTCACACAAACAGTCTGCTCTTGCACTGTTTTATGCAATAATTTGAGACCATTTTCTTGCTTTTCTTCCTTTGACTCTAGTATGTTTTTCCTGTCCCACACTGACCTCTACTGGACGCCACCTTGTACTAAATCACACTTTAGTGAACCACAGAAGGAAAAGAGATGTTGACAGATATAAGGAAATGGTTTATTTTCCATTATAAAACCAAGAAGTTTTCATTACAAATGACAATTACCATCCAGAGTTAGTTTTTCCAAACAAAAGTACAAGGTAAAATGAAAATGAAATTCGTCCACACCATCACTACATTAGAGGCCCATGATTATGATTTGATGTCATCGATCACAGAGAAAATGGATTTGTTACATCCATTTCATTTCTTTCAGTCAAAGAATTTCATTTTTTGACTCTGTTGGTCCTTGCATTTTGAATTTGGTAAATGCTTCCCTAACTTCTGGTATTGTTCCCAGTGCTTTTAAACAGGCTATTGTCCAGCCTCTTTTAAAAAAACATAATTTGGATTCTTCTGTTTTATCTAATTATAGGCCAATTTCAAAGCTGCCTTTTCTGTCCAAAATTCTCAAAAAAGTGGTCTTTGCTCAACTACAGTCGCACCTTAAATCTTCTGATATCTGTGAAAAATTCCAATCGGGTTTTAAATCTTTGCACAGCACAGAAACGGCTCTTCTAAAAGTTTTTAATTATCTTCTTTTAATTTCAGACTCTGGCCGTTCAGCAGTCCTTGTACTTTTAGATCTAACGGCAGCCTTTGACACTGTTGACCATAATATTTCAATATCCCGTCTTGAATCATGTGTTGGGATGAGTGGCACAGTGCTTAAGTGGTTTAAGTCATATCTGAATGATAGGTGTTTTTCTGTAAACCTTGGTTCTTTTACCTCGCAGAAAGCCCCCCTAACCTGCGGGGTACCCCAAGGCTTAATTTTAGGGCCAATTCTATTTTCATTGTACATGCTGCCATTGGGCTCAATTTTTAGGAAATACAACATTCAGTTTCATTGCTTTGCAGATGATGTACAGATCTATTTGCCTTTGGACCTCAAATCTAACTCATCTGCCGCCTTATTGACATGTCTTAAAGAGGTCAAAGACTGGATGTCACTGAATTTTCTCAATTTGAATGAGAAAAAGACTGAAATCGTGTTTTTTGGTGAGGCTAACCTTACCAGCAGTGCTCTTTGTCCACTTGCGTCCCACTGCTGTTTATCTGCCAAAAGTCTTGGATTTCATTGACAGTTCATTCCAGTTTGAAAAACAGATCAATAGTCAAAACTAGTTTTTTCCAACTTAGGCTTCTAAGTAAGGTGAAGCGCTACTTACCTTTAAACCAATTTGAACAGGTTGTCCATGCATTGATCACAACTCGTTTGGATTATTGTAACTCTTTGTATTTTGGTCTAAAGCAGTCATCAATTCGCAGACTCCAAATGGTCCAAAACGCGGCTGCACGCCTGCTCACAGGAACCAAACGGCATGAACATATTACTCCTGTTCTGTCGTCTCTTCACTGGTTACCTGTTGCTTTTAGAATAGACTTTAAAATTCTATTACTTGTTTTTAAATCCATCCGCGGACTGGCACCGCCTTATTTATCTGATTTGTTGTCTTTGCACGCCCCTGTCAGAGCTCTGCGATCCTCGGGCCAAAGTTTGCTGGATCGTCCAAGATCTCATTTAAAAACTAAAGGAGATAGAGCTTTTGCAGTAGCAGGCCCTAAACTGTGGAACTCCCTCCCTGTGAACATTAGACAGGCTACATCAGTTGAGAGCTTCAAAACTCTGGTAAAAACTTACCTTTTTACGCAGGCTTTTAACACAAGATGAGCTGAGCATTTTTCATATTTTTACAGTTTACATTTTTACTTTCTTATCGTGTTATATTGTTGTGTTTTTGTAGTGTTGTATTATTGTACTGTGTACAGCACTTTGGGGCAGTGATGGCTGTTTTGTAAATGTGCTTTATAAATAAATTTGACCTTGACCTGACCTTACATATTTCACATCGTTTCCATTGGATGAACTTGTGATGGACAAATAAGACTCTCCCACAAGGAAAGAACACAGTGTGTGTTGTTGACAAAGAAATACTCAAACTACACACTTTCTGATATCGACTGTTTGCAGTTTGAGCAATGATAAAAGACAGTTTCCCGCTCTGTAACTCTGGTTGTTATATACCCTGCAAAAACATGAACGTTTATTAATAAAATGGAATGGAATGAAAATTGGTATGAAAGAAATTGACAAATGATTGAACATTATAGTTTCATTATTGATCATTGTGGGGTGTAGGGAGTTCTTTTGTCCAAAGGAGGGCGACAAAGGCCAATCAAACAAGGAAAACCCAACGTTTGTAATTAATTTTAAAAAAGTGAAAAATGAATGAACAAAAAATGTACCTTTGTTGTTGGATAAACCATACAGGCCTAAAGATTAGCCTCATACAGAGAGCCAGTGGCAATCACAAACTTGGATCACTTCTGAAACAAATCTCAGAGTGAAAGACTTTTGTCAGAAGTTTTCCTCTGGACAAAACCACGTCGTTCTACAGACTATTGAGGCCGAGACACGGACATGCAGATGGATGACGTCACGCAGGTAGAGCCCAAATGTCCTGTGAGCTCTGGAACGGTCGCCGGGAGCAGTGGCGTGCGCCTGTAATCCAAGCTACCGGGAGGCTGAGGCTGGAGGAGCGGTTGAGCTCAGGAGCTTTGAGCTGCAGTGGACTATGTCGATCGGGTGTCCGCACTAAGTTCGGTATCGATATGGTGCTCCTGGGGGAGCCTGGGACCACCAGGTCGTCTAAGGAGGGGTGCACCGGCCCAGGTCGGAAACGGAGCAGGTCAAAGCCCCCGTGCCGCTCAGTAGTGGGATCGCGCCTGTGAATAGACGCTGTAGTGCAGCCTGAGTAATACAGCGTGACACAGCCTTTTTATCCTCCTTCTTTTTTCACTCACACAAACAGTCTCCTGGGACTGCTCTTGCACTGTTTTATGCAATAATTTGAGACAATTTTCGTGCTTTTCTTCCTTTGACTCTAATATGTTTTTCCTGTCCCACACTGACCTCTACTGGACGCCACCTTGTACTAAATCACACTTTAGTGAACCACAGAAGGAAAAGAGATGTTGACAGATATAAGGAAACGGTTTATTTTCCATTATAAAACCAAGAAGTTTTCATTACAAATGACAATTACCATCCAGAGTTAGTTTTTCCAAACAAAAGTACAAGGTAAAATTAAAATGAAATTCGTCCACACCATCACTACATTAGAGGCCCATGATTATGATTTGATGTCATCGATCACAGAGAAAATGGATTTGTTACATATTTCACATCGTTTCCATTGGATGAACTTGTGATGGACAAATAAGACTCTCCCACAAGGAAAGAACACAGTGTGTGTTGTTGACAAAGAAATACTCAAACAACACACTTTCTGATATCGACTGTTTGCAGTTTGAGCATAGATAAAAGACAGTTTGCCGCTCTGTAACCCTGGTTGTTATATACCCTGCAAAAACATGAACGTTTATTAATAAAATGGAATGGAATGAAAATTGGTATGAAAGAAAATGACAAATGATTGAACATTATAGTTTCATTATTGATCATTGTGGGGTGTAGGGAGTTCTTTTGTCCAAAGGAGGGCGACAAAGGCCAATCAAACAAGGAAAACCCAACGTTTGTAATTAATAACAAAAAAGTGGAAAATGAATGAACAAAAAATGTACCTTTGTTGTTGGATAAACCATACAGGCCTAAAGATTAGCCTCATACAGAGAGCCAGTGGCAATCACAAACTTGGATCACTTCTGAAACAAATCTCAGAGTGAAAGGCTTTTGTTGAGTTGGTGCTCTCACTATAATTATTATTATTATTATTATTATTATTAATGTTTACGCCTGTATTTATGTTGAGAAGACTGTTTTATTTACATTTGGATAACTCTGTTTTCTTTTCCTGTTTACCAATGGGCGTGGTTAATAAATTGTCCAGCGCCGCAGCTGACGCTGGTTGCGCGTAATGGAATGAATGGAATGCAGTGTGTCCCGAGTTCTATTTCCTCCATATATCTGTCTCTTGTCTCTTTATCTGGGTTCACAACGCGAATCTGCTGCTGGATTACCTCTGCCAACAGGTTATGGGCCCAGAGTAACCCAGAGTAACCCAGAGTAACCCAGAGTAACCCAGAGTAACCCAGAGTAACCCAGAGTAACCCAGAGTGACTCAGAGTAACCATGAGTAAACGGGTCGGAGATCCAAGCCGCTGGTCTCGCCTGTTGTTTGATGGAGATGAGAAAAATTATGAACTGTGGGAGACAAAGTTCTTGGGCCACCTCCGTTTGCAAGGCCTGAAAGACATTATTCTCAATGTACCCGATGCGGGAGACGCAGAGGAGCGACTTGAACAGGACGCCAAAAATGCAGAGGCTTACGCAGAACTCATTCAATTCCTGGATGATAAAAGCTTGTCATTGGTAATGCGGGAAGCAGCCGATGACGGACAAAAAGCCCTGGGGATTTTGAGAGACTATTATCAAGGCAAAGGAAAGCCACGTATAATCAGCCTTTATACCGAGCTGACGTCACTTCATAAGAGTGAGAATGAAAGTGTGACTGAATATGTGATTCGCGCAGAGACAGCCATCACAGCGCTGAGGAATGCCGGTGAGGCTCTGAGTGACGGACTATTGGTCGCGATGGTCCTCAAAGGGCTTCCCGAACTCTTCAAACCGTTTGTGATCCATGTCACACAGCTCGATGAGTCCATATCTTTTGCTGAGTTCAAAACAAAGTTACGCAGCTACGAGGACACTGAGAGGATGCGGGTGTGTGCAGCGGAAGATAACGTGATGAAAGCGCGTGTGCAGCAGAGATGGAGACCGGCTGTTACGGGTGACCGAGGAGCGGACCGAGGAGCGGACAGGACAGCGACGGATTTAACGTGCTTCAAATGTGGATTGAAGGGACACTTGGCCAGAGCCTGTCAGCGCAGACTGTGGTGCAGTCACTGCAGGAGCACTACGCACCGGGACACCACCTGCAGGAGGAAACAGCGCAAAGACCGGGACGACGCTCACAAAGCCTCCGAGGAGTCTGCAGGAGACCAGGAGTACGCTTTCAGAGCGAGCGAGGGGTCTGCAGGTGTCGACATGAAGGGCCTGATGGTCGACTGCGGGGCAACCTCGCATATAATTACGGATCTCGCAAAGTTCCAGAGGTTCGACCAAGCATTCCAGGCAGAGACACACTGCGTGGAGTTGGCTGATGGGACAAGGTGCCAGGGGGTAGCAGTGCGCCGCGGAGATGCTGAGGTCAGTTTGATTGACAGCTGTGGCAGGCATCTGCGCACCACGCTGAGACGAGCACTGTACATCCCTTCCTATCCACAAGACATATTTTCGGTGAAAGCAGCCACCTTGAACGGGGCCACTGTGACGTTCAAGAACGGGAAGGACTGCCTGATTCACAAAGACGGTACGAAATTCCACATTCACGAACATTCCAGACTGTATTATTTACACACTGCAAATAACGATGAATGTGATGACCAATGCAAGGGGTGTTTTGACATGCAAACATGGCACGAGATTTTAGGACATTGTAACTATGATGATATCCAGAGGTTACAACGTGTTGTTGATGGTATGAAAATCAAAGGGTCGCCAAACCAACATCCACAGTGTAAAGTGTGTATGCAGGGGAAGTTTTTCCAGACTAGAAACAGACAACCAGATATAAGAGCTAAAAGGCCTCTGGAGCTAGTGCACACTGATTTAGCAGGGCCAATTCACCCGGAGTCTAGAGACAGTCACATATATGCGCTTTCCTTCACTGACGACTTTTCCAGTGCGGTTTTCGTATATTTCTTAAAGAATAAAAGTGACACTGTACTTGCTACTGAAAAGTTTCTAGCTGATACGGCTCCATATGGCAAAGTCAAGTGCTTCAGGTCAGATAACGGTACAGAGTACACGGGGAAAGAATTCCAGGCCCTACTAATTAGACATAAGATCAAACATGAAAGGTCTGCCCCTTACTCTCCCCACCAGAATGGCACTGCCGAGCGAAATTGGCGTACGCTTTTTGATATGGCACGATGCATGTTGATTGACAGTGGTCTTCCAAAAGAACTGTGGACTCATGCGGTACAGACCGCCGCTATTGTGAGAAACAGATGTTATAATAAACGCACAAAGCAGACTCCATTTGAAGGACTTACAGGTCGGAGGCCTAATCTATCTAAAATGCAGAAGTTTGGGTCACAGTGTTTTGTGTATAAACAAGACAAAAGGAAACTGGATCCAAAATGTGAAAAGTGTGTATTTATTGGATTTGACAAAAACAGCCCGGCATATGTTGTCTATTTTCCTGACACTAAGAAAGTGCAGAAGCACAGGCTGATACAATTTGTGACTAAAACTGGTGTAGAGCAGCAGACACAGACTAACTTTACACCTTCTGATTTTGTGCAATACGAGTCGAGAAGTCCAGGTTACAGTGTTCCAGGTGGACTAAAATCTGAGGAGATCAGTGACCAATCAGAATATAGCCCACATGAAATACAGCCAGTAGAGGGCGAGAGTGAGCCTGAGCCTGAGATTGAGCCTGAGCCCAGACGTTACCCTGTGAGAGAGAAAAGAATGCCAGACAGATACACAGACTGCAAAGTATCTAATTATGTGTCTGAAGAGACCGATCAAGTCCAGAGTAACATTGATTACTGTTATCGAGTTATTTGCAACATACCTGTCTCATTTACAGAAGCAGTAGCCTCAGAAAGATCCAAAGAGTGGATCCAAGCAATGGATGAGGAAATGCAGTCACTTAGAGAGAACGAGACATTCACCCTAACCAGCTTGCCCGAGGGTAAGAGAGCAGTGGGGGGTAGATGGGTGTATGCAATCAAAAATAATATTGATGGGTCTGAGAAGTATAAAGCCCGATTCGTTGCAAAGGGGTACAATCAAAAAATGGGTGTTGACTATGAGGAGACATTTTCCCCCACAGCCAACCTCACAAGTATCCGAGTAATAATGCAAAAAGCAGCTCAGGAAAATTTGATTTTGCACCAGATGGATGTAAAGACTGCCTATCTGAATGCACCAATAGACTGTGAGCTATATATGGAACAGCCTGAGGGTTATGTGGTCAGATCTCACAAAAAGGAAACGTTGGTATGTAAACTACAGAAGTCACTGTACGGGCTGAAACAATCGGGCAGAAATTGGAACACATTTTTAAATGATTATTTGACTCAAAATGATTTTACCCAGAACCAGACTGATCACTGTGTTTATGTCAGAGAAACAAAGCGTGATAAGGTCATCATGGTTATTTGGGTTGATGACCTAATCATTGCAGCAAGTGATGTAAATGCATTGAATGTGGTGAAGAACATGCTTACAGCAAGGTTTAAAATGAAGGACTTGGGGAGACTTGGACATTTTCTAGGCATTGATTTTAACCAGAGTGATGACAGTGTAACAATGACACAAGAAAAATATGTCATGAACATTCTGAAGAGGTTCAACATGCAGGATTGTAAACCGAGATCCACACCCTGCGAACAAAAATTCAATTATGAAGACACTGCTCCAATAATGAGTGATGTTAAAAAATACAGGGAAGCAGTGGGAAGTCTCATTTATTTAACTGTTTGTACTAGACCTGATTTAAGCTTTGTTGTAAGCAAACTGTCACAGTACTTTTCCAAACCAACTGAACAACAGTGGGGTACAGTTAAACATGTACTGAGGTTTCTCAAAGCCACATGTAACAAAAAGTTGTGTTACAGGAGATGTGATGGACAGTTGGGACTCCGAGCATACAGTGATGCAGATTGGGCTGCTGATGTCCATGACAGGCGGAGTATGTCCGGTTATTGCATAAGCTTAACTGAGGAGGGCCCCCTAGTGGCGTAGAGTATTGCCCTACAGAGCAGATGGTTGCAGATCTGATGACCAAACCTGCAACAAAATCTAAGTTGAACAAGTTTGATGAATTCCTATTTGGAATTGAATAGAGAGTTTTTTTTTTCCCGGTTGATGTTGATGTAATGTAAGAGCAAGTGGGGGTGTTGAGTTGGTGCTCTCACTATAATTATTATTATTATTATTATTATGAATGTTTACGCCTGTATTTATGTTGAGAAGACTGTTTTATTTACATTTGGATAACTCTTTTCTTTTCCTGTTTACCAATGGGCGTGGTTAATAAATTGTCCAGCGCCGCAGCTGACGCTGGTTGCGCGTAATGGAATGAATGGAATGCAGTGTGTCCCGAGTTCTATTTCCTCCATATATCTGTCTCTTGTCTCTTTATCTGGGTTCACAACGCGAATCTGCTGCTGGATTACCTCTGCCAACAGCTTTTGTCAGAAGTTTTCCTCTGGACAAAACCACGTCATTCTACAGACTATTGAGGCCGAGACACGGACATGCAGATGGATGACGTCATGCAGGTAAAGCCCAAATGTCCCGTGAGCTCTGGAACGGTCGCCGGGAGCAGTGGCGTGCGCCTGTAATCCAAGCTACCGGGAGGCTGAGGCTGGAGGAGCGTTTGAGCTCTGAGCTGCAGTGGACTATGTCGATCGGGTGTCCGCACTAAGTTCGGTATCGATATGGTGCTCCTGGGGGAGCCTGGGACCACCAGGTCGTCTAAGGAGGGGTGCACCGGCCCAGGTCGGAAACGGAGCAGGTCAAAGCCCCCGTGCCGCTCAGTAGTGGGATCGCGCCTGTGAATAGACGCTGTAGTGCAGCCTGAGTAATACAGCGTGACACAGCCTTTTTATCCTCCTTCTTTTTTCACTCACACAAACAGTCTCCTGGGACTGCTCTTGCACTGTTTTATGCAATAATTTGAGACCATTTTCGTGCTTTTCTTCCTTTGACTCTAGTATGTTTTTCCTGTCCCACACTGACCTCTACTGGACGCCACCTTGTACTAAATCACACTTTAGTGAACCACAGAAGGAAAAGAGATGTTGACAGATATAAGGAAATGGTTTATTTTCCATTATAAAACCAAGAAGTTTTCATTACAAATGACAATTACCATCCAGAGTTAGTTTTTCCAAACAAAAGTACAAGGTAAAATGAAAATGAAATTTGTCCACACCATCACTACATTAGAGGCCCATGATTATGATTTGATGTCATCGATCACAGAGAAAATGGATTTGTTACATATTTCACATCATTTCCATTGGATGAACTTGTGATGGACAAATAAGACTCTCCCACAAGGAAAGAACACAATGTGTGTTGTTGACAAAGAAATACTCAAACTACACACTTTCTGATATCGACTGTTTGCAGTTTGAGCATAGATAAAAGACAGTTTCCCGCTCTGTAACTCTGGTATTTATATGCCCTGCAAAAACATGAACGTTTATTAATAAAATGGAATGGAATGAAAATTGGTATGAAAGAAAATGACAAATTATTGAACATTATAGTTTCATTATTGATCATTGTGGGGTGTAGGGAGTTCTTTTGTCCAAAGGAGGGCGACAAAGGCCAATCAAACAAGGAAAACCCAACGTTTGTAATTAATTTAAAAAAAGTAAAAAATGAATGAACAAAAAATGTACCTTTGTTGTTGGATAAACCATACAGGCCTAAAGATTAGCCTCATACAGAGAGCCAGTGGCAATCACAAACTTGGATCACTTCTGAAACAAATCTCAGAGTGAAAGACTTTTGTCAGAAGTTTTCCTCTGGACAAAACCACGTCATTCTACAGACTATTGAGGCCGAGACACGGACATGCAGATGGATGACGTCACGCAGGTAAATCCCAAATGTCCTGTGAGCTCTGGAACGGTCGCCGGGAGCAGTGGCGTGCGCCTGTAATCCAAGCTACCGGGAGGCTGAGGCTGGAGGAGCGTTTGAGCTCAGGAGCTCTGAGTTGCAGTGGATTATGTCGATCGGGTGTCCGCACTAAGTTCCGTATCGATATGGTGCTCCTGGGGGAGCCCGGGACCACCAGGTCGTCTAAGGAGGGGTGCACCGGCCCAGGTCGGAAACGGAGCAGGTCAAAGCCCCCGTGCCGCTCAGTAGTGGGATCGCGCCTGTGAATAAACGCTGTAGTGCAGCCTGAGTAATACAGCGTGACACAGCCTTTTTATCCTCCTTCTTTTTTCACTCACACAAACAGTCTCCTGGGACTGCTCTTGCACTGTTTTATGCAATAATTTGAGACAATTTTCTTGCTTTTCTTCCTTTCACTCTAGTATGTTTTTCCTGTCCCACACTGACCTCTACTGGACGCCACCTTGTACTAAATCACACTTTAGTGAACCACAGAAGGAAAAGAGATGTTGACAGATATAAGTAAATAGTTTATTTTCCATTATAAAACCAAGAAGTTTTCATTACAAATGACAATTACCATCCAGAGTTAGTTTTTCCAAACAAAAGTACAAGGTAAAATAAAAATGAAATTCGTCCACACCATCACTACATTAGAGGCCCATGATTATGATTTGATGTCATCGATCACAGAGAAAATGGATTTGTTACATATTTCACATCGTTTCCATTGCATGAACTTGTGATGGACAAATAAGACTCTCCCACAAGGAAAGAACACAGTGTGTGTTGTTGACAAAGAAATACTCAAACTACACACTTTCTGAAATCGACTGTTTGCAGTTTGAGCATAGATAAAAGACAGTTTGCCGCTCTGTAACTCTGGTTGTTATATACCCTGCAAAAACATGAACGTTTATTAATAAAATGGAATGGAATGAAAATTGGTATAAAAGAAAATGACAAATGATTGAACATTATAGTTTCATTATTGATCATTGTGGGGTGTAGGGAGTTCTTTTGTCCAAAGGAGGGCGACAAAGGCCAATCAAACAAGGAAAACCCAACGTTTGTAATTAATAACAAAAAAGTGAAAAATGAATGAACAAAAAATGTACCTTTGTTGTTGGATAAACCATACAGGCCTAAAGATTAGCCTCATACAGAGAGCCAGTGGCAATCACAAACTTGGATCACTTCTGAAACAAATCTCAGAGTGAAAGGCTTTTGTCAGAAGTTTTCCTCTGGACAAAACCACGTCATTCTTCAGACTATTGAGGCCGAGACACGGACATGCAGATGGATGACGTCACGCAGGTAAAGCCCAAATGTCCTGTGAGCTCTGGAACGGTCGCCGGGAGCAGTGGCGTGCGCCTGTAATCCAAGCTACCGGGAGGCTGAGGCTGGAGGAGCGTTTGAGCTCAGGAGCTTTGAGCTGCAGTGGACTATGTCGATCGGGTGTCCGCACTAAGTTCGGTATCGATATGGTGCTCCTGGGGGAGCCCGGGACCACCAGGTCGTCTAAGGAGGGGTGCACCGGCCCAGGTCGGAAACAGAGCAGGTCAAAGCCCCCGTGCCGCTCAGTAGTGGGATCGTGCCTGAGAATAGACGCTGTAGTGCAGCCTGAGTAATACAGCGTGACACAGCCTTTTAATCCTCCTCCTTTTTTCACTCACACAAACAGTCTCCTGGGACTGCTCTTGCACTGTTTTATGCATTAATTTGAGACCATTTTCTTGCTTTTCTTCCTTTGACTCTAGTATGTTTTTCCTGTCCCACACTGACCTCTACTGGACGCCACCTTGTACTAAATCACACTTTAGTGAACCACAGAAGGAAAAGAGATGTTGACAGATATAAGTAAATAGTTTATTTTCCATTATAAAACCAAGAAGTTTTCATTACAAATGACAATTACCATCCAGAGTTAGTTTTTCCAAACAAAAGTACAAGGTAAAATAAAAATGAAATTCGTCCACACCATCACTACATTAGAGGCCCATGATTATGATTTGATGTCATCGATCACAGAGAAAATGGATTTGTTACATATTTCACATCGTTTCCATTGCATGAACTTGTGATGGACAAATAAGACTCTCCCACAAGGAAAGAACACAGTGTGTGTTGTTGACAAAGAAATACTCAAACTACACACTTTCTGATATCGACTGTTTGCAGTTTGAGCATAGATAAAAGACAGTTTGCCGCTCTGTAACTCTGGTTGTTATATACCCTGCAAAAACATGAACGTTTATTAATAAAATGGAATGGAATGAAAATTGGTATAAAAGAAAATGACAAATGATTGAACATTATAGTTTCATTATTGATCATTGTGGGGTGTAGGGAGTTCTTTTGTCCAAAGGAGGGCGACAAAGGCCAATCAAACAAGGAAAACCCAACGTTTGTAATTAATTTAAAAAAAGTAAAAAATGAATGAACAAAAAATGTACCTTTGTTGTTGGATAAACCATACAGGCCTAAAGATTAGCCTCATACAGAGAGCCAGTGGCAATCACAAACTTGGATCACTTCTGAAACAAATCTCAGAGTGAAAGGCTTTTGTCAGAAGTTTTCCTCTGGACAAAACCACGTCATTCTACAGACTATTGAGGCCGAGACACGGACATGCAGATGGATGACGTCACGCAGGTAAAGCCCAAATGTCCTGTGAGCTCTGGAACGGTCGCCGGGAGCAGTGGCGTGCGCCTGTAATCCAAGCTACCGGGAGGCTGAGGCTGGAGGAGCGTTTGAGCTCAGGAGCTCTGAGCTGCAGTGGACTATGTTGATCGGGTGTCCGCACTAAGTTCGGTATCGATATGGTGCTCCTGGGGGAGCCCGGGACCACCAGGTCGTCTAAGGAGGGGTGCACCGGCCCAGGTCGGAAACGGAGCAGGTCAAAGCCCCCGTGCCGCTCAGTAGTGGGATCGCGCCTGTGAATAGACGCTGTAGTGCAGCCTGAGTAATACAGCGTGACACAGCCTTTTTATCCTCCTTCTTTTTTCACTCACACAAACAGTCTCCTGGGACTGCTCTTGCACTGTTTTATGCAATAATTTGAGACCATTTTCTTGCTTTTCTTCCTTTCACTCTAGTATGTTTTTCCTGTCCCACACTGACCTCTACTGGACGCCACCTTGTACTAAATCACACTTTAGTGAACCACAGAAGGAAAAGAGATGTTGACAGATATAAGGAAATGGTTTATTTTCCATTATAAAACCAAGAAGTTTTCATTACAAATGACAATTACCATCCAGAGTTAGTTTTTCCAAACAAAAGTACAAGGTAAAATAAAAATGAAATTCGTCCACACCATCACTACATTAGAGGCCCATGATTATGATTTGATGTCATCGATCACAGAGAAAATGGATTTGTTACATATTTCACATCGTTTCCATTGCATGAACTTGTGATGGACAAATAAGACTCTCCCACAAGGAAAGAACACAGTGTGTGTTGTTGACAAAGAAATACTCAAACTACACACTTTCTGATATCGACTGTTTGCAGTTTGAGCATAGATAAAAGACAGTTTGCCGCTCTGTAACTCTGGTTGTTATATACCCTGCAAAAACATGAACGTTTATTAATAAAATGGAATGGAATGAAAATTGGTATAAAAGAAAATGACAAATGATTGAACATTATAGTTTCATTATTGATCATTGTGGGGTGTAGGGAGTTCTTTTGTCCAAAGGAGGGCGACAAAGGCCAATCAAACAAGGAAAACCCAACGTTTGTAATTAATTTAAAAAAAGTAAAAAATGAATGAACAAAAAATGTACCTTTGTTGTTGGATAAACCATACAGGCCTAAAGATTAGCCTCATACAGAGAGCCAGTGGCAATCACAAACTTGGATCACTTCTGAAACAAATCTCAGAGTGAAAGGCTTTTGTCAGAAAATTTCCTCTGGACAAAACCACGTCATTCTACAGACTATTGAGGCCGAGACACGGACATGCAGATGGATGACGTCACGCAGGTAAAGCCCAAATGTCCTGTGAGCTCTGGAACGGTCGCCGGGAGCAGTGGCGTGCGCCTGTAATCCAAGCTACCGGGAGGCTGAGGCTGGAGGAGCGTTTGAGCTCAGGAGCTCTGAGCTGCAGTGGACTATGTTGATCGGGTGTCCGCACTAAGTTCGGTATCGATATGGTGCTCCTGGGGGAGCCCGGGACCACCAGGTCGTCTAAGGAGGGGTGCACCGGCCCAGGTCGGAAACGGAGCAGGTCAAAGCCCCCGTGCCGCTCAGTAGTGGGATCGCGCCTGTGAATAGACGCTGTAGTGCAGCCTGAGTAATACAGCGTGACACAGCCTTTTTATCCTCCTTCTTTTTTCACTCACACAAACAGTCTCCTGGGACTGCTCTTGCACTGTTTTATGCAATAATTTGAGACCATTTTCTTGCTTTTCTTCCTTTCACTCTAGTATGTTTTTCCTGTCCCACACTGACCTCTACTGGACGCCACCTTGTACTAAATCACACTTTAGTGAACCGCAGAAGGAAAAGAGATGTTGACAGATATAAGGAAATGGTTTATTTTCCATTATAAAACCAAGAAGTTTTCATTACAAATGACAATTACCATCCAGAGTTAGTTTTTCCAAACAAAAGTACAAGGTAAAATGAAAATGAAATTCGTCCACACCATCACTACATTAGAGGCCCATGATTATGATTTGATGTCATCGATCACAGAGAAAATGGATTTGTTACATATTTCACATCGTTTCCATTGGATGAACTTGTGATGGACAAATAAGACTCTCCCACAAGGAAAGAACACAATGTGTGTTGTTGTCAAAGAAATACTCAAACTACACACTTTCTGATATCGACTGTTTGCAGTTTGAGCATAGATAAAAGACAGTTTCCCGCTCTGTAACTCTGGTTGTTATATACCCTGCAAAAACATGAACGTTTATTAATAAAATGGAATGGAATGAAAATTGGTATGAAAGAAAATGACAAATGATTGAACATTATAGTTTCATTATTGATCATTGTGGGGTGTAGGGAGTTCTTTTGTCCAAAGGAGGGCGACAAAGGCCAATCAAACAAGGAAAATCCAACGTTTGTAATTAATGAAAAAAAAAGTAAAAAATGAATGAACAAAAAATGTACCTTTGTTGTTGGATAAACCATACAGGCCTAAAGATTAGCCTCATACAGAGAGCCAGTGGCAATCACAAACTTGGATCACTTCTGAAACAAATCTCAGAGTGAAAGACTTTTGTCAGAAGTTTTCCTCTGGACAAAACCACGTCATTCTACAGACTATTGAGGCCGAGACACGGACCATGCAGATGGATGACGTCACGCAGGTAAAGCCCAAATGTCCTGTGAGCTCTGGAACGGTCGCCGGGAGCAGTGGCGTGCGCCTGTAATCCAAGCTACCGGGAGGCTGAGGCTGGAGGAGCGTTTGAGCTCAGGAGCTCTGAGCTGCAGTGGACTATGTTGATCGGGTGTCCGCACTAAGTTCGGTATCGATATGGTGCTCCTGGGGGAGCCCGGGACCACCAGGTCGTCTAAGGAGGGGTGCACCGGCCCAGGTCGGAAACGGAGCAGGTCAAAGCCCCCGTGCCGCTCAGTAGTGGGATCACGCCTGTGAATAGACGCTGTAGTGCAGCCTGAGTAATACAGCGTGACACAGCCTTTTTATCCTCCTTCTTTTTTCACTCACACAAACAGTCTCCTGGGACTGCTCTTGCACTGTTTTATGCAATAATTTGAGACCATTTTCTTGCTTTTCTTCTTTCACTCTAGTATGTTTTTCCTGTCCCACACTGACCTCTACTGGACGCCACCTTGTACTAAATCACACTTTAGTGAACCACAGAAGGAAAAGAGATGTTGACAGATATAAGGAAATGGTTTATTTTCCATTATAAAACCAAGAAGTTTTCATTACAAATGACAATTACCATCCAGAGTTAGTTTTTCCAAACAAAAGTACAAGGTAAAATGAAAATGAAATTCGTCCACACCATCACTACATTAGAGGCCCATGATTATGATTTGATGTCATCGATCACAGAGAAAATGGATTTGTTACATATTTCACATCGTTTCCATTGGATGAACTTGTGATGGACAAATAAGACTCTCCCACAAGGAAAGAACACAGTGTGTGTTGTTGACAAAGAAATACTCAAACTACACACTTTCTGATATCGACTGTTTGCAGTTTGAGCATAGATAAAAGACAGTTTCCCGCTCTGTAACTCTGGTTGTTATATACCCTGCAAAAACATGAACGTTTATTAATAAAATGGAATGGAATGAAAATTGGTATGAAAGAAAATGACAAATGATTGAACATTATAGTTTCATTATTGATCATTGTGGGGTGTAGGGAGTTCTTTTGTCCAAAGGAGGGCGACAAAGGCCAATCAAACAAGGAAAACCCAACGTTTGTAATTAATAAAAAAAAATTAAAAAATGAATGAACAAAAAATGTACCTTTGTTGTTGGATAAACCATACAGGCCTAAAGATTAGCCTCATACAGAGAGCCAGTGGCAATCACAAACTTGGATCACTTCTGAAACAAATCTCAGAGTGAAAGGCTTTTGTCAGAAGTTTTCCTCTGGACAAAACCACGTCATTCTACAGACTATTGAGGCCGAGACACGGACATGCAGATGGATGACGTCACGCAGGTAAAGCCCAAATGTCCTGTGAGCTCTGGAACGGTCGCCGGGAGCAGTGGCGTGCGCCTGTAATCCAAGCTACCGGGAGGCTGAGGCTGGAGGAGCTGTTGGAATATTGAACTCCTGGACCAGTTAAAATTAAAATCAGTTTAGTATTGTTTCTGTTGCCAACGTTAGCAGGTGCAAACGTTGGCAGCGGGCCAGAAGGAGTAATAGGGTCCATACAGTTGTGATGTCAAGTGACCTTGGATGTAAAGTATAAAGATGTACAGGAGCAGTCACGGGGGCCTCTTTTTTCGTCCGACAGGAGAGCAGTGAGACGTCCCCGAGGCCACTCCTTTTTTGAACGCGAAGCGAGACTTGTGTTCGCAGACCGTTATCTTGTAATATTGCTTGCAAATCTTCAATATAAACCTTTGAAATCAGGTTTGGTATCTGTCATTTCTATTACTGTTTTAACATTGGTTTTTGTCTCTTGTTGAACTAAAAGGACCTGCAGAACGAAGGGCTGTGTTGCGGCCTGTCTGCAGCTTCTGGGGCAGGGGAATTCTGACAAATTACTGCAGAACTTGGCGTCGCTCGAAACAGGATTCGACAGGAGACACAAGGCCCGGTCAAAGAAAAGATTAATTTGGCGCCAAAGTAAAACGGTAAGAATTGTTACCAACTAATTAATCTTTCCTTTCACCTGACCTGAGACCTAAAAATAAAAAACAAACAAACAAAAGTAGGGTAAATATTGAAGGATTTGCTTGCAAGTATTTTATATTTATTGGGATAATAGTATTCAAGTCTAAGTGACTTAAGAAAAGGAGAAAAACTGTGTGTTATCTCAGTGATTGATAGTCAACCTAGAAGGAGAACTGTGTGAGGATCTAAGTGATTTATGAGTTAAAAGGAGTGAACTGTGTGTTATCTCAGTGATTTAATAGTTGAAGGAGAAAACTGTGTGTTTTAATTAATTGACAATAAGGGAAAGGACAGGGACAGTGTCTAACTTTTCTCACTTTTAATTTTTCTCTTGGTGTGAATGAGTGATTGATGTTTTCTGTGGAAGTGACCATTGCACCACGGTCACAGTGAACGCAGTAATTTGGGTCGCGTAGGACGGGGTCACGATTCGTGCGTACATTTCCCCACCACATTTTGTGGTCGAACGGGGAGATACCACGATCTGACGCCCTAAGATTACGCACCCAATTGCTGATTCTTTACATTGATATTGATAACACAAGGCTTGTAATCTAGACGGTAGAAAACATGGCATCTGTAACATTAGATGAGTGGATAAAGGGGATTATACAGTATTTAGAGGGGACAACAGAGATTAAAAATACAACAACAAGGAGCGTTAGAACATGGTTAAAATCAAAAAAGAAGAGATGGTATTTTAGCTAAGTCAAATTCACCCCCAAGTGAAGGGTTAATGAAACAACTAAGAGAATTAGTTTTGGAGAAACGTTCTCAAATGCAAAGAGAGAAGCCGTTAGAAAATAAGAAAATTCAAAAGTTGACAGATGAGGTTACTCTGATTTCAATGATGATCAAACTAAATGAGAAATGGATGACTGCTGCCAAATTGCAAAGTACAGCTCCTGATTCTTCCCCTCCACCGTATGCTCCATTGTATCCAGATTTAACAGAATTAGTGAAAAGTAAAGATTCTGCAAAAATGGCTCCATTGATTACATTTGAAGAGCCAATAAAATGTACCGTGACTAGCACAGACGAGGAGAGTCTGGACAAAAAACACTCCCAAGAGGCGCTCAGACAGGTACGAGAGGTTACGGCTCAGACCACCCAGCTTCAGAAACACATTGATCAGGTTGGAGAAATTGTGGCGCAAGTGGCTGAAAGACAATTCAATGACACATTGAGAAGACTGGAAAATGAGCTTAAAAACCACACGATTCAGGGAGGCCCATCTCACCCCTGACTCTCCGCACTGTGCGTTAACAATAAACCATTACGCTTTTCACAATTACCATCAGATCAGACAAGGACCTTTGAGTTTCCTCCTTCATGGGGTATGGGGTATATATTTCTATAACAATTTGGCGTTGCTGACATGTCTTGGCATGGGATACTTTCGGCGGGGACGAGCGGCTTTGTTTGGCCGACCTGGATCACCAGCCTCTGTTCCTTTTTGGAGACAAGGGAGAGCGCGCTCGTCCACGCACGGAAGGAATCCTTTTGCCACACAAGACCAAAAAGAACCTAATCTGGTGAGTCTTGTCTTTTCATCTGCGTAACGAGCCCAGGGCAGCACTTAAGTGTACACGGGGATTTGTTTATTTATGTATTTTTGGGGTATTTCATTCATTGCCACAGCATAGTCTGTGTGCGGGATTTTTTGGGGGGCTTTTTGTTCTAGATTGAAACTAGCGGCTGCGCGTTAGTATCGTCCTGTAGGCGACCCTGAAAATTTTCTCCAAGTGTCTTCAGCCAGAACCGCTCCATTTCAAGAACGCGCGCTCGCTGGTTGAACCAGCGGGGGGGGAATGGAGCGCCCCAAAGTGGGTAGGAGCAGGGAGAGACTAAGCGGGTTAGGCCCATTGTTCGTACGAGAAAATGGGTAAAAAACAATCTAGAAGACGCAAGCTATGGAGTGCTTGCCTA